ATACAACCATCCTATACACTCCTGTAATAGCAAGGAACATCAACGCCACATTCAAAAATCATATGGGATTTAAAGAGGGCTTTTTTGGTATAGAATTACATTTACGCCAAAGAAAAAAAACAGGCAAAAATGATGTAATCTCCAAGATGCCAGAATATATGTCATCTCTGTTCCTAAATTGCACAGGTACAGGTGACACCCAACACAACTGCAATCTTGAGTGTAGCAACCAGGGAGGGGCACAAGGTGGCAGCACTTTTGCTGTTTGATCCAGATGCTGCACTCACAGGGGGATTTTGTGAAGTTCCTGAGAGCTGTGCATTATAACTCAATACAAACACAGCACCAGCGTTCTGTGAATGTGTCGGACCTGTTTCTTGTGTCTGTACTGAAGGAAGTTTATGGAACCACAGGAGCGACTGATCTGTCCCCCGAATATGAACATTAATTTTGCTCTGATTTATAAAGCATTACACATTCCTTTGTGATTGAAAGTTGGCTCATTGGGAATCAAGGGACTTGTTTCAGGCTGCATCCTTGTACATACAAGTGCTTAAGCTAACTGAAACTGCCTTTAAATGAAACAAGATTTGTGACAAATAACAGTGCACAAGACATTTCAAAGAAGTCTTGAACACATGAAGTGTGCGTACATAAGTGGAAACGGGGAAATGTTTGATCAGCTTGGCTGTTAGACTCTTAAGAGGAAACAGCACACGATACCTTTGGTCCCGCTGGCCGTCATTCAGCATTCCCATCAGGACATCCTCCCCTGGCATGTGCTGCCAACTTTACGTGGAGAACATGCCTCAGTGCTCAGCAGTCAACCTGCACACAGGCGGCGCTGCCTCCATCCTGGCTCATAAACCGAGTCTGACAAACATGCTCTTGAAACTTCAGGAGCAAGTTCACATCCTGGTTCCTAAACAGACTTAGATATTTCTGTATAGTCCCATTGTAGTCTGGGGTACAAGCCTGCAGTTATAACCACACTCACAAGAATCCTACCATTGGAATCTGATCTGCGCAAGGTGATACGAACGCTGGACTGAGCCCAGTACATCATTCTTTCAGCCCTTCAGAGCCCGATTTCAACATCAGCATCAAAAGCCACCAGGCACTGGCTGAGGACTTGGGACCCTTCTCTTCCTGCTAGCTCAGCCTGAAGCAAAAGAGCGACTCTCCCTCACTGGCTGGTTTCTGCCCCCAGAACTGCAGCTCTCCCAGAGGCAGCCTGAACAGGAACCCACACTTCCTTTACCAACTCTGCCTTTCAGACAGAAACCAAAAACACTCACCCAAGTGTCTTGCTCTGCCACAGTGGCCGGCTCGGTGCAAAGGCTGTGGCACGCAGCATCATCAGGGAAGGCAGCCTGGAAGGCCCATAAAGGGTTGCACTTCTGCAACCTTCCTTCCCCTTGGAATAATGATCTCATCTGTGGTGGCACTCTGGGGAACTGAGGACATGTCAACAGGCTTTGTCAGCTGCTAGTTCCCAAAGCCCATTACAAGCCTCTGGTGGGTGTCTTTGGAGAGCCTGGCAACGTGTTGGAGATCCCCTTCTCACGACCTCTGATGGCACATTGGGATCTCCGACGACAGGTGCATAACGTGAGATCTGATACTTGCTGCGTTCACGTGTCAGGCTTCTGTGTCCCGGTGGATTCAAAGCTTCCCAGATTCTATCCTGAGAAGTTAATCCCGCATTTACCAATCCCTAAGTTGCATCATCTTTGAACATTCACACAAAAACAATCAGGGAATGTGTCCCCAATGGACCCCAGATGAGAGCAAAGGCAGAACATAATGTCAACCACACACACACGAGAAGTCATGGGACTCATTCAGACCACACAACGGAAATCAACTTGGAAGTGGGAATACTGACAAGTTCTAGGAAAACATACTTCATTGATGCTGAGCAGAGTAGCAAGGGAAGCCCATGGAACACGGCTCCTGCAGGAAAGCAGCTGTGACTGGCTCTCTCAAGGAGAAGCACCTGCTTCAGGTGTCTTAGCTGGAAGATCCTGTTCACATAAGTCACCCACATCTTGATTCAGCAGTGCCCAAGGGTCGCCAGAATTATCCACACTGAATTCTGCTAAGCACCCATTGGTTTCCCTGGTTGTGAAACGAATGCTAAAAGAGAAAACTCATTTGTCTGGACAATATCTGGAATCCTGTGTCAGACACACGTACAGTTGGGTCTAGGTTCGATATCCACATCCCCAAATGAAGCCTGGTCCTCCGAGCCGGCAGAGACTCTGGCTCTGAGAGGTCACCCTCACTTCTGCCCTCGGTGCAGGCCACTCTCAATTCCCATCATTCTCTAGGATGCCCAGCAGTGAGCGCACTTCCACTGAGTCCTCCGACAGGGACAGTACCCAGATTACAAGGACCCTGGGGCGGAAACGTCGAGGTGTAGACGCCAGCAGTCCTGAACGCCAGCCTTGCCCTTGTCCTTGTCCCACGATGTCACCAAGCATTTCTCTCCCAGCACCCACAGTGTCCGCCAGGGAGCCTCATCTGGCTCTCTGCCCCAGGACTGACACCAGTGCGCCCTCATGCCTGCTCAGGCTGGCCCACCTTTTGTCTGCAAACTCCTTCAGACCTGTTGCAAGTCCCACTGTGGCACTCTCACCAACTGAGCTGCTGGGCAAATGATTCAAGGACCTGGATTGACTCAGAAACCATAGAACTACTAAAGAAAAATGGGAAATGCTCTCCAACTGGAACGGGGAAAGTCTTAGGAAAGATGCCAAACGCACAGGCAGGCAAAGACAAAATAGGTGAGACTACAAACTAACAAGCTTCTGTACAGCAAAGGGAACTAGTATTGAACTGAAGAAGCAATCAACAGAATGCAAGAAGATTTTTGCATACTACACGAATGAAAGGACTAATATCCAGGATTTACAGAGCTTCAGAAACTGAGAGGCAGTCAAGAACAAAAACAAACAAAAGAACCCCAAAAAAACTCTGAAAAAAATGGGCAAAGGAAATGGACACTTTTCAAAAAAGAACAGACTCAAATGGCTGCCATGAAAAAATGCTCAGGCTCCCTAGCCATCAGGGAGATACAGATGAAAACCACATTGAGGTACCGCCTAGCTCCGGTGAGATTGGCTTACATTCAGAACTGAACACCTGTCGGTGTGGACGTGGGGAGAAAGGCACCCTCCGTCACTGCTGGGGGCAGTGCCGGCTAGTACAACCAATATGGAAACCACTGTGGAGCCTGCTTAGAGGATTTGGGTCTTGACAAGAACAGCAAGCACTTTATGGCCAGTCTTCGTTCAAGGAACTCCTTCAGTCCAGCTTCCCTTATTGGTTTCAAGCCTCATCTGCTTTCCACATCAGAGCGAGACCACAAGATCATCCTAGGGAGGTCTTACCAAGCCCCTCCCCCAGGGATCTTAAAACTGTAATGGCTGACTCAGGCTGTATGGGTGCCGAGTTTATCAAGCAACTCAACAGCAGCATTCTTCAGCTCGAGCGTCAAAATATGAACACCCAGCTCCTCATTCATTACTCTAATCCCCTCAGCAAGATGAGCAGGCCTGACCTCATCTGGAGCCTCCCGATGTATGGCCTTACCAACAGATGCTGTGGCCAGACAGAGGCAGGCACCTGGTACCTGGAAGGAGCATGGTTCAAGAGAGATGTCAGCCTCCCTAGCATCCTTTGAGAATCAAGATGGCGGAATAGGCTAAGGACACGTGTAAACGGACAGAGAAACATTTAATCAGGATGAAGCAGAAAGGACACATTCCAGGAAACAGGAGAGGACAGAACAACCTCAGAGCGGTACCTGGAGACTGACAGATACAGGAAGGCAGCAGACACAAGGGTGTGGTGTTGCAGTGACTGATACTCCAGCAGCCTTCAGCTAATGGTGATCTGAACTCCACCAGCAGCTGGAACTCCACGGAACTCTGTGTTGCAGCTCACCAACGCCGGGGTGTCATACTTGAGCAGAGAGTTGGTTGGGGGATCATGGCGGCGTTGCGGGTGGCAGCCCCAGTGGCCAGCACCTTCTCCTGATTGGGCCTTGTTTGAGGTCACCATGGAAACCCTCCTCCTGCCCAGCGGGAGCCACAGGGTGCAGGGCTAGCTCGGCTTCAGTGCGGCTCAGGCTTCTTCCTCCACTGGGCCCCTCTTCGGCTTCCCGGGCCATCTCAGGAAGCAGAGAAGACAGGGGTTCGAATCCCCGTCCTGTGGCTACTTCGCTATCTGGGTGAGATGGGCGGGTCCCCTCCCAGAGCCCCTGTTTAATCACCTCAGGGAAAGGCTGGGGATGAAGTTCCCAACTAATTAAATGAAGACACAGCAGACTACTAGGGCAGCTTTTCAGTCAGGTCGCTTCGGATTTCCACACCTTGGTGCACAACTTTGTTGCCTGCTTTATTGTATATTTCTGCTGTAGATGGTTGCTAAATAACATCTCTAAGGGCCACGTTAACACCCATGAATCGGCAAAAGAATTCCCCACTGCTGTGTACTCAGGTGGCCCACATGGAATGAACGGGCACGAATATGCTTGAGAAGCTAGCTGCTTTAAATAACGACATCTTTCAACTGATGATTCACTCCCCAAATGGCCTCCACAGCCATAGCTGCGCTGATCCAAAGCCAGGTGCCTCATCCTGGCAGGGCCCAGGGACGTGGGCCGTCCACTGCCGCTGCTTCCCCAGGTCAAGAGGAAAGGAGGTTGAGCAGCCTGATTGGAAAGCTGCAGACAGAGCACTGGCTTGTCAAGGCACAGCACCTGCCCCTTGGTCCTTTGCTTTGTCAGCTGGAAACTCCCGCCCTGCGAGCCAGCCCAGTTCCTGTTGCCCCGCCCCCAGGGGCAGACGTCACGTGATTCGCACTCCTGCCGCAGAGCTTGCTGGGAGGGCGTGCCCCCAGGAAGCGGAAGTCCCAAGGTGCATTTCGTCACTCATTGTATTTAAGCTGGAGCAGCTCAGCGGGTCGGCTTACTTGTGCTTCCAGAGCCCAGCATGTCGATGGAGGTGAAGAGCCAGCAGGAGCGCAAGAGCCGCAAGAGGCGCAGGGAGGAGGACAAGGTGGGCCAGGCACCAACCATGGCCCAGGTGGTGGTGAAGCAGGAAGGGCTCAGCCCAGAGGCGAAGCCGCCGCCCGCCCCGCACCAGCCGGCCCCGGGTGCTCCCCTGTCCCAGCCGGCCTGGCGTGGAGGAAGCAGAGCCTGGGGAGGCAGCAGGTCCCCGGCCAGGAAGAAACACAAGGCTTCTGCCCGAAGAAGCAAGTCTCCCTGGAGTCCTCACCACTCAGCGGTCAAGGGGAAGCAGGAACCAGAGGAGCACCCTCGGAGAGGACCAGGACGGCAAGAATGGCAGCATCCTCATCGTGCGCCCTCAGAGCAGGAGCACAGGAGAGCTAGGGACAGGCACCAGCAGGGCCATTCCCGTCAGCACAGGAGCTCTCCAGAGCGGCCTGCCAGCGCACAGGCTCAAGGACACGACCGAGACCTTCAGAGCCTGCAGGCTCAGGACGACCAGCGGGAGTTTGACGCCGCCCGGCGCCATGAGCATCGCCAGCAGCACCAAGTCCGTGGCGGGGGTCATGAGTCGCAGGAGGTGGTGCCTCGACCTGCTGGTAAGAAAGAAACAGCGGCAGCTGTGAAGGAGAAGCCAAGCTTTGAACTCTCTGGAGCCCTTCTCGAGGACACCAACACCTTCCGGGGGGTGGTTCTTCAGTACACTGAGCCGCCAGAAGCACGGATCCCCAGAAAGCGCTGGCGCCTCTACCCCTTTAAAAACGACCAAGTCCTTCCTGTCATGCACATTCACAGACAGAGCGCTTACCTCCTGGGGCGGCACCGCCTCCTCGCAGACATCCCCATGGACCACCCCTCCTGTTCCAAGCAGCACGCCGTCCTTCAGTACCGCCTTGTGGAGTACACCCGCGCAGATGGCACCTTCGGCCGCAGGGTGAGGCCCTACATCATCGACCTTGGCTCAGGCAATGGAACCTTCTTGAACAACAAGCGCCTTGAGCCGCACAGGTACTATGAACTGAAGGAAAAGGATGTACTCCAGTTCGGCTTCAGCAGCAGAGAGTACGTTCTGCTGCATGAGTCATCAGATACCTCGGAACTAGACGGGAAGGAAGACGAGGATGACCAAGAGGAGGAAGGCGGGCTTTGAACAGCTAGCAAGCTGAGAAGCAGTCCACGCTGACAGGGCTCCTCCTTCTTGGAAGGCGTTAGGATGACGCCAGGAGCACCGCATCCTGGACCGCTGCATCTGTGCCCTGCATCTGATCTGGGCCCAGAACCACCGCACCGTCAGCCTCGTCAGGAGGGTGACCCTACTACCATGGCTGCCAAGATGCACAGGAAAGGCATGATAACTTCCAGCCGGCCCTTACGGGTCCTCACTGCCGTGGTGGCTTCCTTCTTTGTCTGTTGGTTACACCTTTCAGTTGGTTGCCCTTCTAAGCACAGTCTGGCTGAAAGAGATGCTGTTTCTTGGCAAGTACAAAATCCTCGACGTCCTGGTGAACCCAACAAGCTCGCTGGCCTTCTTCAACAGCTGTCTCAACCCCATGCTCTACGTCTTCGTGGGCCAGGACTTGCGGGAGAGACTCCTCCACTCCCTGCCTGCCAGTCTGGAGAGGGCCCTGAGTGAGGACACCACCCCAACCAGTGACACAGCTGCCAACGTGGCTTCCCCGCATCCCGAGACTGAGTTACAGAGGATGTGAGGAAGGGGCTCAGGGACACCTTGGAACTGTGCCTCATTGGACCCTGGCCCGAGTCCCAGCCGCATCCTGCCTTGTGTGGTCTGGGGCCGCTCGGCTGACTACGAGTTGCTCAGGGATTACTTCTGCACCCCTGGTTTGTTGATCCTGCAGACGACGTGCGGTGTAAGGACTGTGGCTGTCACTTTAGGGTTTGAGAGCTCCGCCTGGATCCTGGGCTGAGCGGACATGGGCAAAGAGTGTAAGAACACTTGAACACATGATGGGATTTCTAAGACTGAGATGACGACAGACTGAGGAGGAAAAAGCTTTCTCGTTTTCTTATCACCATTAAGGAAATTTTAGAGGATTGTGGAAATATTTTTTTTTTAATTAGACTGAATATTTTCCCTTATTCCTAGTTGTTTTGCTTCCTGTAAGAGTGATCTCCAAAAAATAAAGGACATTGACAAGTGGGTGTTGGAATTTGTCTACTTATTACAAATGCCTCATTTTGTTCACATCACCCTACATCATGCTGACTCATTTCAAATACCCAACTACCGTTGCATTTCTTGGGTGAACGACACTTGGTTGGGACACAGTTTATAAATCAGTGTCAGTGACTTGCTTCTGTTTCTTGTTCACAGAAAGATGGCTTCCCTACCTACTTTCCTTGAATGTCACTGTGAGGTCTGACATCACGCTGGCAGAGAACGAGCTCTCTGTATTCTCGATGATACCTCGTTTAAATACGTCTAAAATTCCCCAGTAAAGCCAATGGGGTCTTGCACTGTCTTCCTGGGAAGGCCTTTAATTACGAGTTCCATTCAGATGATAGCTGGAAGACTTCTTGGTCATTTTTTCTCCTCTTTCAGTTTTGATACAATGTGATTTTTACTGGAATTTGATCACTTCATTCAAACTGTCAAATGTATTGTGTACAACACTTGACGTGGTTTCTCCCCTGAGAATGGAAGCAAGCTTCAGGCAGACATAAGCTGTGCTGCTCAGCATCGCTGATGTGTAAAATAGTGCCCGTTTTTAAATAAAGACTTTTATACGTGTATTGCAGTAGTGAATCAAGAAGTAGTAGCATCACCTGGGTATCAAGTGAGAACTTTAATTGAATAATTACGTCCACCTTTGATAACAAACCATATCCAGTGAATTCCTACTATCCTGCCAACAATATTTATAAATCCCATGTGGGTTATAATGGAAAAAAAACATTTGTTATTTGAGAGTTACAGAGAGAAAGGGAGAGACACAAAGGGAGATCGTCCATGTGCTGGTTCACTCCCCAGCTGGGAAGCCAGACGCCAGGAACCAGGAGGCAGGAGCTTCATCCGGGTCTCCTGTGTGGGTGCAGGGTCCCAAACCCTTGGACCATCCTCTACTGCTGCTCTCATCCCATTATCAGGGAGCTGGGCCAGAAGTGGAGCAGCAGGCACCTCGCCATCACCCAACGAGATGCACATGGTTCAATCTGCTACAGCACAAAGCCAACCTCGTGGACTGCATTGTGATGAATATCTCTGAGTTTTAATTTCTACTTCAGTGCTCCATCTGGTATTTCTTAATGACTCTATTCGGAAATAAGTCGATCTGCAATGGTACCACACCCTTTGCACAAATGGGTCTTCATTTTCCTGATGTGCTGGCAAAGAAACAACTCAGAATGAGTATTAGGTCATCAGAATTCATCACATCATTGCTGTACTCACCATCTTTCTGCTCCTTTTCCTGTCCAGGCCACAACGCCAGGCCCTGCACAGAAGCTTATCCCTTTAATTTGCATTTTTGACTCCTATAAGCCCTTTCAAGTTTACACACACACACACACACACACAGAGAGAGAGAGAATTTAATTCTGAAGATAGCATGTCCACAGGAAACAGTTAAAAAGAATGCAAAAGAGTCTGGTGTGGTAGCCTAGTGGCTAAAATTCTTGCCCCACATCGGGGACCCTGCGATGGGTGGGAGGGTGGATGCGGCTTCTCCCTTCGTCTCTCCCATCCCCCAGATTCAGGGAGGAAAACCCAGAATGTGGAAACAATTGTCCTGTCCACTTTCAGGTCGCCCTTGGCCCTTTGTGCCTTAATCAACTACATAAAGAGCATCAAAATTAAAAAAAAGCTTGGACAGACACCGAGAGGAGAGAGCACGCATAAGCGTATGAGAAGTCACTTTTGACCCTGATGTGTAAAGTGGACTAAAACCCAAGAAGCTGTGGCTGCATAGCAGCTACAACGGCTGTAACTACAGACTGGGCACAGAGGCGGAGTCACAGCCGCTCTCGGGCACTGGTGGTGGAAGCAGCAGAGCTGTAGACATCCCGACTTGTGTTGTGAATATACGTTACACCTGGATTTATCATAGACACAGCACACACACAGATCCTAGGTTCTCCATGAGCTGGGAGAAGACGCACGGGCACATTGTGTGCCTCTGTCTGTAACTGCTGTGCCGTGTGCAGCAGCCGGCCAGCAAGCCAGCGTGGGCCAGCATGAACCAGCTTAGCCAGTGTGGGCCGGCATGAACCAGCGTGGGCCAGCATGTGCCGGCATGTGCCAGTGTTGGCCAGCATGGGCCAGCGTGAGCCAACGTGAACCAGCAGAGCCAGTGTGGACTGGCATGAACCAGCATGGACCAGCATGGGCCAGCGTGTGCCAGCGTGGGCCAGCGTGGGCCAGCGTAAGCCAGAATTAGCCAGCATGGGCCTGCGTGAACCAGCAGAGCCAGTGTGGGCCAGCATGAACCAGCATGGGCCAGCGTGGGCCAGCGTGGACACTCATGACTCCCAGTCACGATCCCATTAGAGAGCAGAAAGCAGTTGGAGCACCCACCGGGATAATTCAATTCATGTGAATTATTGAAATAGACCAGCCATCAGAGAAGTGGTTTCAAACAGAAGAAGAGGAAGATGAACTAAAAACTTTTTCTCTGCCAAACAGAGAAACAAAAGTTGACGTCCACAAACGCCATTGTCTGTAGGCAGCCCAGGTGTTCTTTTCTTAAACTCTATCAGATGCTTGTCTTGGTGGATTTCTAGAATCAGCTGGATTGATGCTCGGTTCCTATCACTCTAGCCTCTTTTCTAACCTCGGCCCAGCACTCTGAGGAATGACTCCTCTTCAGCTTCCCCCTGAGTCTGAGTCTGGCCTCTCAAAGCCCCACAGTCCATGTTCTTTTCCTGCCGGTCCCTAAGTCATCCCTATCCAGTCCATCCTCCTCAGCTCTCTCCATGAGCCTGTGTCCGTCGTGCCTCTCCCCACCAAGTTCATTGTCTCAGGCTCCAACTCCTTCACCTACACTACACTCAACACATGACAGCCAGTCAAGGTCAGCCACCTGCGTCTGTATCGCCCTTCCCTCACACCAAAACAAAGCTCTTCACTCGCCCTTTCCACCTTAACTGGATACTGGCTAATGTGCCATGCCTAATGCCGCCTTGGTTGTCACATTGCTTCCCCACCCAAATCCTAATACCTCCAACACCCTTCACTTGTTGCACAGTTTAGTCCCTTTTAATTTTACACTAAACATCACCCTTGAACTCCTAACCAGTGCTTAGCGTCCTTCATGCCTATGTCTGCCTTTGCTTGTGTCCCTGTTGCACGTCTGTCACATTGTACCCCCTAACTATGGCTTTAGTTTTCCTCAGTCAATTGCAGTCTGAAAATGCTTGATGAGAAGCTGAAGCATTGTAAGGGTGTCCAGTGCATCTGAGGAAATGATTTAATATTCTCTTACAGCAGTTGCTTTGCCTCCCAATACTGTGACCTGCCAGTGGAGCCTCGCATTTCTTCTTTCATCTAGGCAGTGTAACACTTCCCAGCCATGCTCTTACCTGGCCCATAGCCCCTCCCACTTATTTTACATGCTCCTCCAGCGGGGCACACACCCATTGCTTCTTCCAAGAGCACACCTGAGTCTGAATCTTGATTGATTGCGACGTGGACAATCAGTCCAATTTGATAGAACAGTTAGGGAGCTACACAGACTGTATTCAGTAACACGTAACATTCCATCAGGAAACTCTGGAAGTCGGAGTGAAGCCTGACACCCATTCAGAGATTGTGGCAGAAGACAGGCACAGTCTTAGATTGAAATGCAAGGCCTTTATTATGACACAGCAGGCAGAATGAACATCCCAGTTGCCACGGTGTGCCTTGCAGCCCCGCACCCCATGCTGTTATGTATGGACACTTCACATGGAGCAAGGCTGCATCCTACAGAACATCCCCTAAAAACGGGGAAATTCAAGAGGAAAAATGCCTCTTAGACAATCCCTGAACAACCTCCACACTTTTTGTCCAAAAGAGAGAAATCGCCTTTATTTATTCAAGGTAGGAACAAGTCTGCCTACTGCTCCCGACTCCCAAGGCTGGTGTTCACGTGAATATCTAACAAGGCACAGTCAACACCCAAGGCTGCTCACAAGGCCAACATAGAAGCTCATGGAGAATTCTCTTCCAACTCCCTTCACTGTATGTGCTCCTGGAAACATTCCTTACAAATGTGCTGGTTTGGAAGGACGGACTCAATTCCTGCAGTCTGGCTGAAACAGCACCTGCCTGAGGGCTATTTCACCAGGCATCAAACTGGAGAA